TCAAAAAAGCCTTCAAGATTCGTTTAGATAATTTCAGGAAAAAGACATACGAGCCTTTAAAATTTTCAGAAAAACGATTTTTTTTTAATTTTTCAAGGAAAAGACACAAGACTCCCCCAAAATAAAACAAATCACCAAAGGCTCAAGATTATTTTTGAACCTTTTAAAAAAGACACTAGGGGCCCCGATAATCTTTCAAATTTTTAAAAAAGACCAGAACCAAAAAACCCTAAAATTCTTTTAAACTTTCTCAAAAAAAAACACAAGGTTCTTTGAAAAAGAAAACGCCAGGAGCTCCAAGACTCTTATAAACCCTTAAAAAAGAAGTAAAGGTCTCAAAAATGTTTAATTTCTTTCAAAAAACGCAACACCAAGAAGCCCTAAGATTATTTTAAACTTTTCAAGAGAAAGACACAAAGAGCCCCCAAGATTCCTTTAATTTTTTCAGTAAAATGACAGAAAAGGTCCTTTATTAAATTCAAAAGAAAATAAAAGGGTTCTCAAGGTTTTTTTGAACTTTTTTTCCAGAATGATACAAGGGACTACCAGGATTTATTTCAACGTTTGAAAAAAAGATTCCAAGGTCTCAAAGATTTTTGCAGGTTTTTCAGGAAAAGGACGCTTAAAAAAGACACAAGGGGACTCTTCCATTCTTTTGAACTTTAAAAAAAAAAACATGAGATTGCAAGATTTTTTATTTACCTTTAAAAAAGGCATAAGAGGATTTGAAGATTCTGTTGCTTATAGTAAAAGAAACGAATATACTTTCAAAAAAGCCTTCAAGATTCGTTTAGATAATTTCAGGAAAAAGACATACGAGCCTTTAAAATTTTCAGAAAAACGATTTTTTTTTAATTTTTCAAGGAAAAGACACAAGACTCCCCCAAAATAAAACAAATCACCAAAGGCTCAAGATTATTTTTGAACCTTTTAAAAAAGACACTAGGGGCCCCGATAATCTTTCAAATTTTTAAAAAAGACCAGAACCAAAAAACCCTAAAATTCTTTTAAACTTTCTCAAAAAAAAACACAAGGTTCTTTGAAAAAGAAAACGCCAGGAGCTCCAAGACTCTTATAAACCCTTAAAAAAGAAGTAAAGGTCTCAAAAATGTTTAATTTCTTTCAAAAAACGCAACACCAAGAAGCCCTAAGATTATTTTAAACTTTTCAAGAGAAAGACACAAAGAGCCCCCAAGATTCCTTTAATTTTTTCAGTAAAATGACAGAAAAGGTCCTTTATTAAATTCAAAAGAAAATAAAAGGGTTCTCAAGGTTTTTTTGAACTTTTTTTCCAGAATGATACAAGGGACTACCAGGATTTATTTCAACGTTTGAAAAAAAGATTCCAAGGTCTCAAAGATTTTTGCAGGTTTTTCAGGAAAAGGACGCTTAAAAAAGACACAAGGGGACTCTTCCATTCTTTTGAACTTTAAAAAAAAAAACATGAGATTGCAAGATTTTTTATTTACCTTTAAAAAAGGCATAAGAGGATTTGAAGATTCTGTTGCTTATAGTAAAAGAAACTAAGATACTTTCAAAAAAGCCTTCAAGATTCGTTTAGATAATTTCAGGAAAAAGACATACGAGCCTTTAAAATTTTCAGAAAAACGATTTTTTTTTAATTTTTCAAGGAAAAGACACAAGACTCCCCCAAAATAAAACAAATCACCAAAGGCTCAAGATTATTTTTGAACCTTTTAAAAAAGACACTAGGGGCCCCGATAATCTTTCAAATTTTTAAAAAAGACCAGAACCAAAAAACCCTAAAATTCTTTTAAACTTTCTCAAAAAAAAACACAAGGTTCTTTGAAAAAGAAAACGCCAGGAGCTCCAAGACTCTTATAAACCCTTAAAAAAGAAGTAAAGGTCTCAAAAATGTTTAATTTCTTTCAAAAAACGCAACACCAAGAAGCCCTAAGATTATTTTAAACTTTTCAAGAGAAAGACACAAAGAGCCCCCAAGATTCCTTTAATTTTTTCAGTAAAATGACAGAAAAGGTCCTTTATTAAATTCAAAAGAAAATAAAAGTGTTCTCAAGGTTTTTTTGAACTTTTTTCCAGAATGACACAAGGGAATACCAGAATTTGTTTCAACGTTTGAAAAAAAGATTCCAAGGTCTCCAAGATTTTTGCAAGTTTTTCAGGAAAATGACACTTAAAAAAAACACAAGGGGACTCTTCCATTCTTTTGAACTTTTTGAAAAAAAAATATGAGATTCCAAGATTTTTTATTTACCTGTAAAAAAGGCATAAGAGGATTTCATGATTCTGTTACTTATAAGTAAAAGAAACGAATATACTTTCAAAAAAGCCTTCAAGATTCGTTTAGATAATTTCAGGAAAAAGACATACGAGCCCCTAAGATCCTTTTTAACTTTTTCAGAAAAACGATTTTTTTTTTATTTTTCAAGGAAAAGGCACAAGAGACCCCCAAAATAAAACAAAATACCAGAGGCACAAGATTATTTTTGAACCTTTTAAAAAAGACACTACGGGCCCCAAAAAAACCTAAAATTCTTTTAAACTTTCTCAAAAAAACACAAGGTTCTTTCAAAAACAAAGTGCCAGGAGCTCCAAGATTCTTATAAACTCTTCAAAAAGAAGTAGAGGTCTCAAAAATCTTTAAGTTCTTTCAAAAAACGCAACACCAAGAAGCCCTAAGATTATTTTAAACTTTTCAAGAGAAAGACACAAATAGCCCCCAAGATTCCTTTAATTTTTAGAAAATTGACAGAAGGGGTCCCTTATTAAATTCAAAAGAAAATAAAAGGGTTCTCAAGGTTTTTTTGAACTTTTTTTCCAGAATGACACAAGGGACTACCAGGATTTATTTCAACGTTTGAAAAAAAGATTCCAAGGTCTCAAAGATTTTTGCAGGTTTTTCAGGAAAAGGACACTTAAAAAAACACACATTCTTTTGAACTTAAAAAAAAAACATGAGATTGCAAGATTTTTTATTTACCTTTAAAAAAGGCATAAGAGGATTTCAAGATTCTGTTGCTTATTGTAAAAGAAACTAAGATACTTTCAAAAAAGCCTTCAAGGCTCGTTTAGATAATTTCAGGAAAAAGACATACGAGCCCCTCAAATTTTCAGAAAAACGATTTTTTTTTTAATTTTTTAAGGAGAAGACACAAGACTCCCCCAAAATAAAACCAAGCACCAAAGGCTCAAGATTATTTTTGAACCTTTTAAAAAAGACACTAGGGGCCCCGATAATCTTTCAAATTCTTAAAAAAAGACCAGGACCAAAAAACCCTAAAATTCTTTTAAACTTTCTCAAAAAAAACCACAAGGTTCTTTGAAAAAGAAAACGCCAGGAGCTCCAAGACTCTTATAAACCCTTAAAAAAGAAGTAAAGGTCTCAAAAATCTTTAATTTCTTTCAAAAAACGCAACACCAAGAAGCCCTAAGATTATTTTAAACTTTTCAAGAGAAAGACACAAAGAGCCCCCAAGATTTCTTTAATTTTTTTAGTAAAATGACAGAAAGGGTCCCTTATTAAATTCGAAAGAAAATGAAAGGGTTCTCAAGGTTTTTTTGAACTTTTTTCTGGAATGACACAAGAGACTACCAGAATTTGTTTCAACGTTTGAAAAAAAGATTCCAAGGTCTCCAAGATTTTTGCAAGTTTTTTAGGAAAATGACATTTAAAAAAGACACAAGGGGACTCTTCCATTCTTTTGAACTTTTTGAAAAAAAAAACATGAGATTCCAAGATTTTTTATTTACCTGTAAAAAAGGCATAAGAGGATTTCAAGATTCTGTTACTTATAGTAAAAGAAACGAATATACTTTCAAAAAAGCCTTCAAGATTAGTTTAGATAATTTCAGGAAAAAGACATACGAGCCCCTAAAATTTTCAGAAAAACGATTTTTTTTTAATTTTTCAAGGAAAAGACACAAGACTCCCCCAAAATAAAACAAAGCACCAAAGGCTCAAGATGATTTTTGAACCTTTTAAAAAAGACACTAGGGGCCCCCGATAATCTTTCAAATTCTTAAAAAAGATCAGGACCAAAAACCCTAAAATTCTTTTAAACTTTCTCAAAAAAAAAACACAAGGTTCTTTGAAAAAGAAAACGCCAGGAGCTCCAAGACTCTTATAAACCCTTAAAAAAGAAGTAAAGGTCTCAAAAATCTTTAATTTCTTTCAAAAAACGCAACACCAAGAAGCCCTAAGATTATTTTAAACTTTTCAAGAGAAAGACACAAAGAGCCCCCAAATTTTTTTTAATTTTTTTAGTAAAATGACAGAAGGGGTCGCTTATTAAATTCAAAACAAAATAAAAGGGTTCTCAAGGTTTTTTTGAACTTTTTTCCAGAATGACACAAGGGAGTACCAGGATTTGTTTCAACGTTTGAAAAAAAGATTTCAAGATCTCCAAGATTTTTGCAAGTTTTTCAGGAAAATGACACTTAAAAAAGACACAAGGGGACTCTTCCATTCTTTTGAACTTTTTGAAAAAAAAACCTTTTAAAAAAGATACTAGGGTACCCAAAAATCTTTCAAGTTCTTAAAAAAGACCAGGATCAAACAACCCTGAAATTCTTTTAAACTTTCTCAAAAAAACGAACTAGAGGGCCGCTTGATTAAGCAAAAATCCACTACTAGGAGCAATTAATTCATTCGTGGATAGCGACTTTTTTTAAGTTGATATAACTCTCCTTTTTTCGCTTTTAGTAGAAGTATAAAAAAACAATTTTTTTATAATAATGTATTCGCATGATAAAATGAACGTAGATAATGGAAGCACTTACAGTCTTATTGCTATTGCTATCGGTAACCCCCTCATTAAAAATAATTATCGACTTACTATTTTCTTTGCAACGAAGTTGTTGTTATCGCTAGGGTCTGTAATTATCAAAGAGGCATCAAATTTGGTAAAAATTTTTAAGAATGACATATATTTTTTAAGGAGAACTTAGTGTTGGTCAGAAGCTTCACTTGTGGCAATTTTTGTGTTTTTTTCAGTTGAATAAAAAAAATATTTGGAAAATTCTGATTTAACCTTTTATTAAATAACAAACAGTGTACAACCTGCAGCAAAAACCTACGAAACTGTGCTAAAGTGCGACAATGCGAAAATAAGTACAAATTACACACTAACATCAATCTCTAGCATTACAGAGATTCCCTTGACATTTGACATCTTTGACCAGACCATAGAATTTATTTTTGTTGTTTTCGACCACCTGTTCATAGTTTTCCCCAATCACGCACCCTTTGTGTTTGGTGAGGTCTACAAAAAGTACATTTTCAAAAATTCAGTCTGATATTTAGCGCTACAGCTTTACTTTTATAGTCAAAAGTGTAACAAGTGTCTTGTTTTTCCGTACATGCCACCACTTGGATTTCGTCGCACTCTTCTCTACAATAAATACATTTCAATCTGTCTTTGGGGTCGTCTTCAAGCGTTCTGTTGTTGCACAGGGATTCGTTACACATGTAAGTAAAGCTGTCCAGACCTTTGTGAGTTTTCTGATTTTGGTCGTACTGCTTCTGATAATTTCGTGATTTAATGCACCCTTTGAAAATCGTTCCATCTGTAAAAAAAAGTATACGTGGGTGTAGTTTGTCGTAGCTCAGATCTACCGTTGTAGACAAAATGAACACAAGCGTCTTGTCTGCGGGAACACTGGATTTCTCGTTTCTCGTCAAAACGGTCTGAAGACCGGAAACATCTAAAGCTAGTGTCGCCTATAACGTTGCATAAATTTCCTTTACAGTTGTAACTACTGTCATCGAGGATGCCGCCGTGTCGATCTTCCCTTTCCTCGAAGATTCTCTCATAGTTTGATTCTTTCATGCACCCTTTTTCTATGGTTCCGTCTGTCGACAAAATCGGTTTGATATTGCTTTAACGATTCGTGAAAACGTACCTTCATACTTGAACTGGAAACACACGTCCTGTTCTGGAGTGCATTCTTTCCAGATTTGCTCTTCACATTTATTTTCGCATTTGTAGCACGTCAGTTCTTGAGGAGGGTCACTTTTTGACAAAGTGGAAAGAATGATGATGAGACAAGGTATCAATAAACCCATGTTGGCGGAATGAATAGTTTTGGTGCTTGCTAACAACTTATATTGGGTGTGATAACGAATTTCCTTGACGGTGTTAGTTCAACTATTGTAACGGTTCTTGATAATGTAGTTACATTTACTATTCAACACGTACTGTCTATTACATAGTTCTGGAATTCAATGGAAACATTGCCGCTAAATAAAACACCAATAAATAATGCTGCACATTTTTATTAGGTTTCGTTAATACCCACTTTGACTCACTTATCGTTACAAAGATCCTTTTGGTCGCAGGTTATGCAAGACGTTCTGTTTCCATGCCAGGTGGCTCGTTCTCCACAATACGAAAATCCTTCAAATTCGTCTTCCACGCATCCTTTTTCGATCCAGCCGTCTGCGGATTAAAAATTGACAAGATTTGCTGCGATTCGACTGAAACTTTTACCTTTGAAGAGTACCGTGATGCAGACTTTATCTTCGCAGTCCACGGTGTCGCTTTCGTCGCACTTGGTGTCGTTGCAGTGGTAACATTTTTCGACTTTGGCGGTTTGCAGGGCAGCGAAGGCCGAGACGAGGACGAGGAGGTGGAGTTTCATGGCGGTTAAGGCTCAGAATAAAAATTGTGGGGGCGGTGGGCGAAATTTATACTGCTGCCGTCGGTGGATGATTGACTGGTGTCCTTGTGGTGGACAAGTTAATTTCGTTTTTAGTGTATGTCTTATCGCTATTGTTGATAGTAGGTGTTTTCGAGATAGTTTAATAACATATTTAGTTATGTTAAAATTTATATATAAAAAAAGCAGTTTTAAAGTAGTGCATTAAGACTTAATGGAAGTGTGAGTAGTCACACTTAATAACTGTAGGTAAATATGTCTTTTCTATTATTTTGGTAATTATTACTACTGCTATTACTGTTAAAAGTTTAGCATTTTTGCAATTTCTTCACGAAAAATGTTTACTGCACAATTTCTTTTACAACCAAAATATCATGGGCTCTAAGATTCCTTTATATCGACACTCGATATCGATTCTTCCAAACACTTAAAAAAAGATACAAGTGTCTACAAGATTCTTTCAAAAACAAAACACTACGAATCGTCAAGATTCTTTCAAATTCTTTTAAAAAACCAAGAAGATCTAAGACTATTTTAAAGTTTTTCCAAAAAAAAAAAAGACACAAGTAATCCTCAAGATTTTTTTTTACAAAACAACAAACACTAGGGGCCTCCAAGATTCTTCCAAGATTTTCAAGAAAAAGATTAAAAAACACAGTAAAATCCTCTGATTCTTTTAAATTTTTTCGAAACAAGACAAAAAGGGTTTCCAAAATTTTTTTTAACCAAAAATGGCATAAGAGGTCCTTAAGATACTTTATACCAAAAAAGGAGAGTTCAAGATTCTTTCAAACTTTTCCAAGGAAAAGACATGAGACCCCCAGGTTTTTCGGCTTTCATGATTCTTTTATACTAATAGAAAAAAAGGGGTCTTCAGGATTGTTTTAAATTGTTTTACGAGTACGACACAAGGAGACAATAGACTTTTTGCGGAAAAAATCCAAAGGGGCTTCCAATTTTTGTTTAAACTTTTTCAGAAAAAACACAGGGCTTCCCAAGGTTCTGTAATACTTTTTCACGAAAAAATATAGAAAATATGAAAAGGCACAAGGGGAAGATTCTTTTTAACTTTCCCAAGTTAAAGACACAAAGGACCTTCAAGATTCTTTCAAACTTTTTCAGGAAAAAGGCACAAGGGGAACCCAAGATTTTTTTTAACTTTTCCAAGTTAAAGACACAGGAGACCCTCAAGATTCTTTCAAACGTTTTCAGGAAAATGACACAAGGAGTCACGAAGATTTTTTAAAATTTTTTCAAGAAAAGGACATAGTCGTCCCCTAAGATTCTTTTAAACTTTTTCGGAAAAAGACACAAGAGAATCCAAGATACTTTTTAACTTTCTCACGGGTTAAAGACACAGGGGACCCCCAAGATTCTTTCAGACATTTTCAGGAAAAGGATATAAAGGGAACCAAGATTCTTTTTAACTTATCTAAGGCTTAAAAAACACAGGGGGCTCCCAAAATTTTTTGAAACTTTTTCAGGAAGAAAACATAAGGGGAACCTAATGATTCTTTTTGCATTCCCAAGTTAAAGACACAGCAGACCCTCAAGATTCTTCCGAAAATTTTCAGGAAAATGACACAAGGAGCCAAGAAGATTTTTTAAAATTTTTTCAAGAAAAGGACATAGTCGTCCCCTAAGATTATTTTAAACTTTTTCGGAAAAAGACACAAGGGAATCCAAGATTCTTTTTAACTTTCTCACAGGTTAAAGACACAGGGGACTCCCAAGATTCTTTCAAACATTTTCAGGAAAAAAAAATAATGGCAACCCAAGATTCTTCTTAACTTTCCCAAGGCTTAAAAACACAGGGGGCTCCCAAGATTCTTTGAAACTTTTTCAAGAAAAAACATAAGGGGAACCCACGATTCTTTTTGCTTTCCCAAGTTAAAGACACAGGGGACCCTCAAGATTCTTTCAAACTTTTTCAGGAAAATGACACAAGGAGCCACGAAGATTTTTTAAAATTTTTTCAAGAAAAGGACATAGTAGTCTCCCAAGGTTCTTTTAAACTTTTTCGGAAAAATACACAAGGGAATCCAAGATTCTTTTTAACTTTCTCACGGGTTAGAGACACAGGGGACTCCCAGGATTCTTTCAAACATTTTCAGGAAAAAGACATAAAGGGAACCCAAGATTCTTTTTAACTTTCCCAAGGCTTAAAAACACAGGGGGCTCCCAAGATTCTTTGAAACTTTTTCAGGAAAAAAACATAAGGGGAACCTAAGATTCTCTTTGCTTTCCCAAGTTAAAGACACAGGGGACCCTCAAAATTCTTTCAAACATTTTCAGGAAAATGGCACAAGGAGCCACGAAGATTTTTTAAAATTTTTTCAAGAAAAGGACATAGTCGTCCCCCAAGATTCTTTTAAACTTTTTCGGAAAAAGCCACAAAGGAATGTAAGATTCTTTTTAACTTTCTCACGGGTTAAAGACACAGGGGACTCCCAAGATTCTTTCAAACATTTTCAGGAAAAAGACGTAATGGCAACCCAAGATTCTTTTTAACTTTCCCAAGGCTTAAAAACACAGGGGGCTCCCAAGATTCTTTGAAACATTTTCAGGAAAAAACATAAGGGGAACCTAAGATTCTCTTTGCTTTCCCAAGTTAAAGACACAGGAGACCCTCAAGATTCTTTCAAACATTTTCAGGAAAATGACACAAGGAGCCACGAAGATTTTTTAAAATTTTTTCAAGAAAAGGACATAGTAGTCCCCCAAGATTCTTTTAAACTTTTTCGGAAAAAGACACAAGGGAATCCAAGATTCTTTTTAACTTTCTCACGGGTTAAAGACACAGGGGACCCCCAAGATTCTTTCAAACATTTTCAGGAAAAAGATATAAAGGGAACCAAGATTCTTTTAACTTATCTAAGGCTTAAAAACACAGGGGGCTCGCAAGATTTTTTGAAACTTTTTCAGGAAAAAAACATAAGGGGAACCTAAGATTCTCTTTGCTTTCCCAAGTTAAAGACACAGCAGACCCTCAAGATTCTTTCAAACATTTTCAGGAAAACGACACAAGGAGCCACGACGATTTTTTAAAATTTTTTCAAGAAAAGTACATAGTAGTCCCCCAAGATTCTTTTAAACTTTTTCGGAAAAAGACACAAGGGAATCCAAGATTCTTTTTAACTTTCTCACGGGTTAAAGACACAGGGGACCCCCAAGATTCTTTCAGACATTTTCAGGAAAAAGATATAAAGGGAACCAAGATTCTTTTTAACTTATCTAAGGCTTAAAAAACACAGGGGGCTCCCAAGATTTTTCGAAACTTTTTCAGGAAAAAGACACAAGGGAACCTAATGATTCTTTTCGCTTTCCCAAGTTAAAGACACAGCAGACCCTCAAGATTCTTTCAAACATTTTCAGGAAAATGACACAAGGAGCCACGAAGATTTTTAAAAATTTGTTCAAGAAAAGGACATAGTCGTCCCCTAAGATTCTTTTAAACTTTTTCGGAAAAAGACACAAGAGAATCCAAGACACTTTTTAACTTTCTCACGGGTTAAAGACACAGGGGACCCCCAAGATTCTTTCAGACATTTTCAGGAAAAGGATATAAAGGGAACCAAGATTCTTTTTAACTTATCTAAGGCTTAAAAACACAGGGGGCTCGCAAGATTTTTTGAAACTTTTTCAGGAAAAAGACATAAGGGGAACCTAAGATTCTTTTTGCTTTTCCAAGTTAAAGACACAGGGGACCCTCAAGATTCTTTCAAATATTTTCAGGAAAATGACACAAGGAGCCACGAAGATTTTTTAAAATTTTTTCAAGAAAAGGACATAGTCGTCCCCTAAGATTCTTTTAAACTTTTTCGGAAAAAGACACAAGAGAATCCAAGACACTTTTTAACTTTCTCACGGGTTAAAGACACAGGGGACCCCCAAGATTCTTTCAAACATTTTCAGGAAAAAGATATAAAGGGAACCAAGATTCTTTTTAACTTATCTAAGGCTTAAAAAACACAGGGGGCTCCCAAGATTCTTTTAAACTTTTTCAGGAAAAAAACATAAGGGGAACCTAAGATTCTCTTTGCTTTCCCAAGTTAAAGACACAGGAGACCCTCAAGATTCTTTCAAACACTTTCAGGAAAATGACACAAGGAGCCACGAAGATTTTTTAAAATTTTTTCAAGAAAAGTACATAGTAGTCCCCCAAGATTCTTTTAAACTTTTTCGGAAAAAGACACAAGAGAATCCAAGACACTTTTTAACTTTCTCACGGGTTAAAGACACAGGGGACCCCCAAGATTCTTTCAGACATTTTCAGGAAAAGGATATAAAGGGAACCAAGATTCTTTTTAACTTATCTAAGGCTTAAAAACACTGGGGGCTCGCAAGATTTTTTGAAACTTTTTCAGGAAAAAGATATAAGGGGAACCTAAGATTCTTTTTGCTTTTCCAAGTTAAAGACACAGGGGACC